AAGTCTTCTGCTACTCTCAGTTCTTTAAAACAAGGACTGAAGGTTCTTCAGTTTTTTGCTGCCTTTTATTCAATCAAATTATACGTTTTTTTACACGGCCCTGTACAATATGTACTTTATAACTGTCTTATTTGATCCTTTTCTTAAAATGTTCTTTTTCCATGGCTCTTTAATCTAATTTGGATGTTTGTTTTGCACTTTGTCAGGATGTTTTGATGTTTTGGATAAAGCATTTTGAATAGCCTTGTAGCTGAAAAGCGCCATATAAATAAAAATGGATTGACTACATGTAGAGCGACAGAAGTGCTACTGCGGGTTATTTTGTTCGAACCCTTTCTCTGCTTTCAGTGGAGAACCTTGAAGTACAATTTGAAGAGAACTATGTCAAGACTGTCTGAATGATGTTGTGAGCAGGTGATTGATTGAATGTCATATTTGTATTCAAAGCAGCAGCAAAGGCTTACTTGTGGTAAGCTTGGAAATAATGTATACAATAATAAGATAAATATAGTGCACACATGCCAGAAAACGTGTGCATTTTTTTTCATAGCGGCTCAGTCCACCTCCCAGCAGGATGGCCATCTGTGGTGTTTCCAGTGGAGTTTACTTTTTCTGGCTTGCCTCAATCATTTCTCCCTTTGTGTGACTGTTTGGGTTTCCCTGTGATGGATTGGTGACCGATCCGGGGCGTAGCCTGTCTCTAATGAAATGCATGATGGGATAGTCCCCGCTGACCCTTAACAGCACAAACTGTTTAAAAAACAGACGCATAGATGAATATCACAAACATATAACTACATTTTGTTATGGTAGCATGTCAGGAAATCAGTACCATCTTTTTGGGGAATATTTGTACTGTTTTTGAGCTAAAAGCAAATGCACAACATAACTCTGTGGCTGAAATGTTTCTAGTAAACATTTAGTTTATACCTTAACACTTGATTTAGGGATTTTAAATGCCTACATTTCTTAGCCATTTTAGTAACTAGAACCTCATTCTGCCTAGCAAGTAGGAAGAAACACAAAATATAAAATTGCTTCCCTGAGACTGACCATGAATTTTTTATTTTGCCTCCGGTATATACATGATTGCAAAAAGTAACACAATTTGGTGGCACTTAACTAGAGGATTATAGCCATCAATATTAGATGAAGAAGTTCTCCCTCAAGTTAATGAAATCCTTGGATGCATGCCCGTATTCGGAGGGGAGACTGATAAGGAACGGATCATTCAGGGAGGCGTGTGGTGCAGTGGGTTGTGCGTTGGTGTTCGGATCAGGGGGTCAAACCCCACTGCAGTCAGCATGTCGTTGTGTCCCTGGGCAAGACACTTCACCCCAAATTGCTCCTCTGGGGATTGCCCACAGTATTGCGTACGTAAGTCGCTTTGGATAAAAGCGTCTAACAAGTGACATGTAATGTAATTCAACTTCCTTCCTTAACAGTTGAATTACTATATTGATATTTGAATGGCCCAGAGATACAAATACGTTATGTTTCACCTAACAACGCTTCAGCCACTGTACGTTCTCTGTTCTACTTCCTAAGCCACACTGTTAATCAGATTACAATACTCATAGGCAGGGGTGCCGTAAGGGGGTGAAAAGTTAGGACGATTCTAAGGGCCCGTGACTGACAGAGGCCCAAACCATTTTAGAACATTAAGAAAAACATGTTTAAGTAACCAATTTGATTATCTTTTCATGGGGCCCAAAATCCCTGGCGGTGCCCCTGCTCATAGGTGAAACTGTAAGCTTGTTTACTTTATTGATTCTCATCATATGTTGGGATACATTATTTTTATGAAATAGAGGTATACAAAGACTGGTAGGCAAGCTGCCTGTTAACCGGAGTGGTAACATTATTAACACTTGTATCTATTTGTATTGTTGTTTGTGTTATTAGTTGTAATAGTATGTTGTCCATAGAGGCAGTTCCTCCGATGAAGAGAGAAAGGGCATTGCGTAGCCTCGGGGAAAACACTGCAGAAGCACCATCTCTCATTTTCTTTGTGGTAACTTGGGGGACATTTAGAAGGCAAGCTGCTGAAGACCTTAGGGGATACGTGAGGGGACAGGAAATGATCGACAGTATGGGATGTAGGGAGGAGTGGAACCATTTATTGCCTTAAAAACCTTGAAGGAGGACTGCATTATGTTGCAACCTGCAGCAAGGTATACATTCTTGAGGAAAAAAAGTTTCAGTGCAGACAATCCAATTCCCTCCTTTCTTTTATGTCCGTTCTGTTTGAGTCCAACAACAATAGAGAGAAGGTAAACATTTCAGACAAACATCTGTTACATAAGACTGTTTTCATTAGTGTAACTTCTTACACTAATTGACTTGTTTGATAGTTGAAATAAAACTTTCTCACTAATGTTTTACTACTACGTTTGTTCCCAATGTGTCAAAGTCAAAGTCAACTTTATTGAGAGATCAAAATATCGTTTCCCATAATCCCGAATACAAACATACAAATATATAAAAATATGTATATACCTATATATACACAATCAATAGACACATTTATACATATGCACACATTAAGACATACATACAAGCACAACAATCAATATATACAAATTAACAGTCACTTCAAAGTGTGTGTTTGTATAAGATTGATCCTCATCCAATTTCATTTGAATGTCAACACATTTACTGTAACCTGTGTATACTCCAAAGCTCCAGGGGTGCAACAAATCATGTTCACTACATTCTGTGGCATAACTCATTGTAAAGCTGAAAAATGGGTTGCAACATTAACATCATCTCAAACAATTAGCTCTGTGAAAAGTGTAGAAAGGGAGTCGTTAGGTTGGATCGATGCTGTTAAACAAATGTTTATCATTTACTGTTGACCATAGTGAAGTCACATTTTGGCTGGCTCTGACTGCTGGGATAGGGTTTCAGTCTTTCTGACTGTTGGTCACAGTCGCTTAATGGATGGGATGGGTTCCCTGACTGCTCGTTGTGTGACAGCATGTGTATGTATGAACGCTCATTTCCAAACATACCAGATGTCCAGTTTCTCTTTATGTCCTCCAGTGCCTCCTTCTGCTCCGTCAGGGTCATCATGAGGATCATCATGAAGACATTCATATCCCTGCATTTTATAAAGTTCTTAAGTAAAGTTTTATGGAGATAAGGATTTACTTGTAGAACTTCATTTACTGTAAGAGTGTCAATTATTGTGTTTTACACCAAACATGATTTGATAATGAATGGTTTTAAGAATGCTATTTGATTGAATGTATGCTTAGGATTAACGCAAAAATAACACATTTAAATAATAACTAATGTCTATTTCTTGAAGTATGGTGAGTGGGAGCCAGTATTCTCAATCCAACCAGATGTTATATCCCTAGTGAGATCACAGTGGGGAAATAATCCTTTCCACTCAAATATTCTCCTTAAAGATAGTGAACATTTAGGAATGATTTGATATTAATAGATATGTAGGAATATTATTATTTATGGGTCCGTCTCACTTGATGTAAAATGTATCAATTTAATTTATATAATGGCCGAAATATATTTAAAATATAAAAACATTCAGCAAGCAGCAAGCAGTATACCCACATTATTTGATGTAAAATATAAAAAGCATAGCACAACATAGAAATTAAGTCTAACCTCCACTTGTCCTTGCTGCAGAGAACAAAGCTCTTTATTTCCTTAGCTGCTGTTCTCACACCCCGCGTTGAGGTCACACATTATTTCCAGAGTCTCACGATGCAGTTTCACCGTGTAATAAACACAATGTTTCTTTACTTTTGTCCTTACCATTTCCTGTTGTAAGTAAGTAAGCAGAAGCCGTGGATTTACTGCATTTGGCTCCCTCTAAATCTTTTCTTTTCTCTCTGTTGTCTAACTTTCTTATTTACTTTTACCACCTCTGTCTCACAAATATAACAGCTTATTATTCTGAACTGAACTGAGACAGTTTGTTCTTTCTTCTTTTATGGACTTAAATACAATCTAAGCATAGGGAGGGACACATTCACCACTCATTGTAAACAGACATTTATAAATTGCAATATAATGTTGTTTTTATTAAGGAAACAGATCATTATTATACACTACACTAAGTATCAATAACTTATACATTTCCTCTGCTTGTCTGGTAATGTGATTTGAGTAATGGTAGGTGGAGGGGTTGTAGCCTGTCACAGATCAAAGGAATACCTCACCTCAGCTTTCCCAGTCGCCACAGGCTTAATGCTTCTCATTCGTAACCGAGGGTCTCCTCTGACTCACCAAGTCAATAAAAGAGATTTTAATACTTAAACCATTATTATTTCAAATCATTGTCAAAAAGGCGGGATGAATCACTGACTTATGCCCTATTGATGCCAGGAGATTGGTCCATGCATTCTGCGTTATTGACACTTAAGGGCCTGAAAACAAGTAATGCTAATGACATAATCTAGCTATCGCCCCCCCCCCCCTCTCTCCAGCCTGTCTGTCCTCCTGCCTCAGACAAACGGGCTCATCTGTACTGGATCATTTGCCGTCTCTTGATACGCTGCGGTTTATAGCCAATTATTTCTCTCGATCCATTATCGATTACAGTGTTATCTTTCTTGCATTGCTTAATCTTTTGGCGCAGGAACACAGCGGCTCGCAGGGGGGCCGGGAAACAAACTGCTTAGCGATGAGAACACTAGTTTAGATGGATGGTTGTTCATTTGCTTGTAGATGGGAACAGTTTAAATACAAACTCATTCAGACTTTATTCAGTATTCGAGAGGGTAGGATGTTTTTTATTTGCAGCTCCCTGTATTAGGAATTTGAAACAACAGCAGTCAATTTATCCAAATAAGTGCTAAACCTTTGCTATTAGTATGGATGAATGAAGTCCTCTGAGGTTAACGCACTATTGTTTGTGTTTGCTTTGTCCTGTAGTTCAACATGGCTGACAATAAACCGGAAGGACAATTACTATTTTGACTGAATATTGTGTAACTGACTTTTTGTGCATCTCTCCGTCTTCTTTCTAGTTGGGTTAATAATTTCGGTCATGAGGGTCTTGGTCTTCTACTGGAAGCGCTGGAGAAGCTGCTGGATAAGAAACAGTAAGTGATCTCTTATTACATCCCAATATCTGTCATTTTTTAAGCGACAGGTTCTGATGCGATCAATAATCACAATATCCTTTTTCATTTTTGTTTTTCAGGCAAGAAAATATTGATAAACGGAACCAACATAAGCTTATCCAATGCTTGAAGGCTTTTATGAACAACAAGGTTTGTAAGAGTCAACAAAGATTATCTACACACAATGTTACCTCATTATACATGCATGATTCAATGGTATTGCTTGGATGCAGTCCTAAATGTCCTGCTAATTTCAATTCACTATTTAAAGTGTAAAGGCAATGTCTAATATGTAATACCAGTGTGTAAAAATCATGCTATAATAAAAAAAAAAACTGAAACTCTGACAAGCGTTGGTGTCAAACCAAAGGGAAGCAGATTTTACTATTTCAAGCACACAGTCTCAGATCTTTTAATTATCTTTTTTTGGGAAGGCCTGGCTCATTTCTCAAAAGTGGCACACATTTCAAGGATAAATGAAGTATTGATATTGCTTCTCGTGGAGCTAATCCCCACACGTGGTCTGCTCTGCCCATTCCTTCAGTGGTGGGGAGACTAAAAGGTACAGGAGACTATAAGTATTTGTCCCTATAGTCCTGTCCTGAATTTAATTAATTCATCATCCTCTCCATGTTCTCCCATGGCCTCGTTGTCCCTCCTTAAAAGAAAATTAAGGCTAACTATATCTAACGTACATTAGAGCTTCTTTCTATAATTCATTTTTTACCTGAAGTGAAAGTTCCCCATGAATGCAAATGTTCTCATTAATTTATACCCAATGGACCTTTTCTGTTTCCCACCTCCTCCATTCTATGTCTCACAGTATGGACTGCAAAGGATCTTGGGAGATGAGCGGAGCCTGCTGCTGTTGGCTCGAGCCATTGACCCAAAACAGACCAGCATGATGACTGAGACCGTCAAAATTCTGTCTGCTTTCTGTATTATTGGAGAGGAAAACATGTAAGTCCAATTACCTGACTGTTTGTCACATTAAGTTCTCACACATGCATAAAATGAAAGACTCAATATGTAAATGATATCCTCTCAATAATGTTACGTTACATAAATATTTGGTCCCATATCAGATAACATATTTAAAAGCTTCAGTTCTAATCGCTAAGGTTTCAAATGATTAGCCATTAGGTGTGAATATAAATCCACTTTTGATTCCTTGTTACTCAAACATCACTGCGGACATTTTCCATTGGATCCATTGTAGACACTGTCCAGAGGTTTCAGTGACAGATACCATACACATTTTCAAATACAAATATAAGCATAGCTATTTCCCAGCTTACCTTGCGGTATGTTGTTTTGCAATTTGACCCTTTAAATATTTTACGTAACCTCCTCCATTTAAAGTTGAAAGTGTACTTTCTCAGTAAATCACAGCTGATAGTGAAACAACACGATACCGATACCAAATATATACATATATATACAAAGATGATAAAGATTAGATCCGTCTCCACTCTGTTTTCACTCTCTAATGTTTAGCAAGAAGATAGGAGACGTCTGTTTCTTGTAAACACTTATATTATCACTATTGTTTCAATCGTCTCTCACTGGGTGGCATGTACTCAGTCAGAGGCTGAGCCGCATGTATTCATGTTAACCCACTGTGAGCGTGCTCAGCGATGACAGATGACCTCACACAGGATAGACATTTGTAGGGTCCCATGGTTAGATGATGCAGTTTAGTCTGTTTAATGTGTTGAACTACTCAGTGCAGTTTGCCACGGACACACCACCCGTCTGACAGCTTATAAATTGGATTTAAGGGAGTGTTTTTTATTGTTTCCCACAGGGCCAGACTAGAATAACAATGGCACTTCAAAGTCAGTCTGTATGCAGTGCTGGAAATAAAAAACCCACAAAATCTGCTGGAGAAGCTGAGTTCAGCAGAGTGACTCACACCTCTGACCGTCCAGATAATCCTTTATGAATGTAACACTTTGACTCTCCATATGAGTAAAATTCTTATAGCTGACACCCACCACCCAACATTATGTGTATCTATTGATCACAGGTGATTACTGTACATTTACCTATTAGTACACCTTCCCCGCAGACAGCTATTTAACCAAATACGGGGAGATTAGATGTCTGTCTGTCTCTCTCTCAATCTCAAAGTGTTCAAGACTAAGTTAAAGCTAGCATGGAAATCTTTGCCATGATCACATCTCTGCATTAAAATGAACCTATCCTGTCGAAATGACAGCCAAAGGAGCTGAGGCGGCACTTTCTTGCTCAAAAACGTCTCTATCAACCTGTGTTGTGACGCTGGCTCATGTTCAACACCCACTTCAGCTGACAGCATCAAAAGGGAACACGACAAGTTAAGCAGATCTATCTGGACCGTTTGAAGCCTCGTCTGAACCGGCTTTAAAGCTGCTCAGTATGCAGCACCCCCCCATGCTTGTCTGTGACTCTGTAACCCCTATCACAGAGCATGGCTGTTCAATTTATCTCTTTGTCAAGCTAACTCCACACATACAGTCCTTTTTGGTCGGACACACATTCTCGCACACTCACAAAGCAACTGCTATTCATTTGTCATCCTGAAAGTCTTATTTCTTTGTGCTGATGTAAGGGCAATACAAATGGAAAAAACAAGCCAACTGGCATGTGTGAGTATGAACATGCACAAGGCTGATATTTCTAAGTTTAACCTTTGCCCTTGTGTGTCCATTTATTTATTTTTGAACACATTTATCCGAACAACAAGTGAACGTATATCAGACTAAGAGCCCTTTTGTACTGCGGGAGAAAGAAGGTTAAAGAAAGGATTAAGCGTTTCAATATCTCAATTGATTACGGTAAAATAGCGAATGGGGCCTTGAAGTGTCAGAGAGACCACCTGTTTACAATTATAATGTGCGCACTTGTAAATCACTGTTTACATAAGTGCTCAAAAGACATCAATTAACTTTTATTGCATCCTGTGTGTGTGTGCATTTGCATGTGCAGCACACCATTCCTCTTTCATTTACAATTTAGAGGCGGAAATTGTCCAATGTTCTATTTAGCAGAGCTGCCTTGAGCCCTTGCAAGTGCTCAATTTGCTTACCTTCTCAATAGGTGTATTTGCACATTAGTCTGGCAGTCCCTACTATAATTTTCATCCTTTCTCACACAGCCAAATACACTCATCCACAATTGCTTTGACAATTGAACACATTTGCAGTAAAACCCTGTTTTTGTATAGCATCACTTTAGTAACAAGCATGATGAGTTCAAAATTGGATACTGCCACAATAATAGACCGCATTGCATTCAAAGAGATGGAGCGCGGTAACATTTGTCAGGGTGACCAAAGACTGGCCCGAGCAAATGTCCACACCAACACACAGGGGAGATAAGATACACAGTGGTTGAGCTGGAATTTGTGAGTAAATGTCCTGTCAGTGAGGTGATAAAAGTATTTGTTGACTCTTGTGTTGTGCCTGCTCCCTGTTCGCTGTTTTCTTCCAGCCTGGATAAGATTCTAGCTGCCATGACAATTGCTGCAGAGAGGAACAACAAAGAGAGATTTGCTTCGATTGTGGAAGGACTGGAGAACCATGAAGCCCAGCAGCTCCAGGTTAGGAATCACACCAAAAAGACATTTTGTTTGTTTTGTTTTAAAGGGGACCTATTATGCAAAATCCACTTTTTCATGTCTTTTCTACATCACCATGTGTCCCCTCTGTGTAAAGAGATTCTGAAAGTTTCAGGAAAAAAGATTCTCTCTCTTTTTGTCCTGATCCATTTATATAAAAACCTGTCTGAAAATGAGCTGATCAGAGTTTGGCCACTTTATGATGTCATAACGATTTTTTGGCTTGCGTAACCATTAGCCAATCAGCAACCAAGGTAACCCCCCCCCCCGCCCCCCCACACCTTATCACCTGAATCTCCTCCTAGAGCACCATTGTGCTCTTTTTAACCAAATATCTCTCAGAGGGGCGTGGGGAGGGGCTCCTTATTTTCATCTAAAGTAACAGACAGAGAATCAGCACTTTTGAAACAGGTCTGAAACAGAGGGGATTATGGGATGCTGCAATGCATGATCTGCCAAACACTTCAGAGACATGTTTTGTATATATCTGAGACCTATAATATATTGATGAAAAACAGTATAATAGGGGACCTTTAAAGGATAAAGGTGACCCTAATGGTTATTTGGCCAAAACCTTTGTTAATTTTGCACTTAGAACACTGCTTTCTGCGGTACAGTCAACATTTCAGTATGCCTTGAGTACACACTTATTAATACTATCCAAACTTTTGAAATGAAACAGGTAACTTATTAACAAAAGCAGGAGTTCTGCCATGTATTGTGGAAAGAAACCCATCACAGTCCAGTGTTATTCACACAAATCCCCTTTTGTCTTTAAAACCACATTTGATGCCAGACTATACAGACATTGACAGTCGAGTCACTCTGGGGCCCGTCGTACCTCAGCTGTCTTCATACACATGTTTTTCTCTGCTTTTCTTACTGTCCTTGGGTCCCCTTGTCAACCCCGCTGCACCTCCTGCGCATGATGGGATGTGATCACTTCGCTATTGAAATGTACCCGGAGCTCCATTGCCACTGCTTTAATCCAAAGCACCTGCTTCATTGAGCACATCTGCTGAGTTTTGCGAACACAAAAAAAAAGATATATAAAAAAAAAGGCAGAGGTTGAGTTCCCGTGAAACCTTTTGTCTCTTTTCTCTCTTCTCACATTTTCTCCTCCTCTCACTATCTTGCTCATTTTTTCTCACATCTTACAAATACTTCCCCTTGCTTTTTTTTCACGCTGCTGTCAAGTTGTGTCTCAGAGGACTCGGTGTGAAAGGGCAACTACTGTAAAGCACCTACCTCTCTTCATTTCCACTAGTCTTCTTTAGCAGCAGGAAAAAAAACTTTACAGCAGCAATAAAATCGAAGCTTAAAACATGTTTTGTGAAACAAAAGAAGGGAATTACTTAAGGAATTACCTTTTTAACTGCGGGGATTGTGAAGTCATGAAGGAAACTGATGAGGCGGGCGGTGAAAGTGAAAGTAGATATTCTTTTATTAGGGGGCTGTTGTTTTTCCTTTAAATTTTCCGGTTAATGAAATGAAGCTCTGCTAATTGTGAAGTAAATTAAAATGCTTTGCTGATGCAGGGGGTTCGAGGAAATGAATAGACTTTTTTTTATCCCAAACCTGTTAAGGGCTGTAGAAGTAGACTTAGATAATGTCATTAAACATTTTTTGCCGCAGTTCAGGCTATGCTTGCCTGCTGAACACGAGAGAAACTCTGCATTTCAACTTTTTAAAAAAAAACGTCCCATCTGTCACACTTTAATCACGATGTTTGGAACCCCGCACTGCAGCTCTAAACCTAACACAGAGAACTCCCCCAACCTGAACCCCAACACAACCGCTTCCCACTCCTGAGAGGTATGTTTGAGTTGCTTGATGTATGTTTCAATTTCTATGCAGAAGAAGAGAAAGAATTTTTCATGAGCTCCACAGCTTTCTTGCCTCACATAAATTCTGTGAAGATTTGGTGGAATGTCTTTTATGAATGAGGCCTCTGGTGGATACAGTAAAATGTCAGGTTTCAATGCACAGGTCTGGTTCCAGGCTCTAAAGCTTTAGTGGAACATGAACAAGTCAGCCATGTTCCTGGAGCCGCGCACTGGTGCAACGTAGTCAACAGCGGCGCATCCTTTACTGCGACAAGCATGTGCTTTCCCAATGGGAACGTGCAGTATTTCACAGTATATCTGTATTGCATAACAACATGAACCAAAACAAACCAATACTCTTCACTTCAAATACGTTTCTCAAATACAACTCAAAAAGATTAGATTCTTGCACTGATCATAGTCAATGACAATCAAAATAAGGTTCTCTGAACAAAAGTATATAAATATTTAGGGTGGAAGCAAGATAATTATTGATAAGAGAGTATTTCAGATGACATTCTTGGAGCTTCATTTCTAGGTTTTAGTAGGTTTAAGACATTTGATCAAACTGACCCAGGCAACTGCACAAAATCAGCATTGTTCCGGCTCTTATTAATAAAACAGACCATTCAGAACAGGAAGTACAGGGTCAAGGTTTCAGAAAACGACGTTTCACAGCATCCATGGGAATCCTTCAGCCTGCTATCGATTTTTTGTCCAAGGAAAACTGTCTCATCCATGGCTTGCTCCCCTGAAACACCTTACTGCTCATTATAATTCATCAGCGATTTTTCTTAACCCCCCTCTCTCACCCTACACACACACACACACACACACACACACACACTGCGGCTTTTCCCTTACCAATAAATCCATTAATAATGCACAGACTGTGCTCTCTTTCTCTTTCTCTCTCTCTCTGTCTCTCCTAACCCTTCTTCCCTCATCGATGAAATCCATCCCTCTCTGTTTCGGAAAGAGAGTGTTAAGAGAAACAATTATGCTAAAAGACATATATTTTTACATAAAAAAAAACACAAAAGGTAAACTCATTACGTCTTGTATGTGTTATTTCTTATTTGTGTTCTTTTCCTTATTTTGTGTGTCTCCTCCACAGGTTGCTTGCATGCAGCTGATCAATGCGCTGGTCACCTCCCCCGATGACCTGGACTTCCGGATACACCTACGCAACGAGTTCTTGAGATGTGGCCTCAAGAAGATCCTACCTGTGAGTATTCAACGTTCTCACAGCACATGGCTGCATTATTCACGTGCATGAGAACTCAAGGTCGCTCCTGACTTTGTGAAAGACCTTTTTGCCCAAATATTTACTTTTTCCTGTGTCAATCAGTATATTCGATCAATGCTATTCATTACACATTCTGGTCAAATAACACAGCACTGTGTTGCCTTAGTAATTCTGTTATAACCTTACTTTTAATAGTAATGATTCTCAGAGGCTCTTTGAATACTTTCTAACTGCAACTAGTAGATAACATTATATCAGAACAAATCAGAGTTTGAATGTGTTGAAAAGTGTGAAACTTGAACATTTCTTTGAATATATAGTTAACAAATGACGTTTTCAGTCATTCAAAAACTTGGAACAACATGTGCTATTTATGTAATTTAGTTTAGCTTTAACAATAAGGCATTCAAACCAAATAATCCATGTGTCACTTAAGAGAAATGTCATACATAAGAAAAGTTTTTCTTATAAATTAAATTAGTAGTAGAAGTTCTCGCGGTGTAACTAGTAGTAGTAGCTTGTGTCAGATGTGATGCAGTGCCAGCGCCTCATCACAGGTCGACCTGGCATCATTAGCAGCAGGCCTACAAATCTTCACATGAGGCGAAGGCAAACGAGCCCCAACTCATCACTCAAGCTCTCATTTGTAGCGAGTGGGGTGAGCGTGTCACAAAGCCAGTTGTTAATAAGTCATCCCAGCTGCTCCTGTTGATTATTACTGCCATTACTTTAATTATCTTCAATTCTGCCCCCTGATATGAAAGAGTCTCAGTGTACAGTCATTTATGAATGCCCCATTCACCGCTTTTAATGCCCACATTCAAACTGACACTCGTTCATCTAATTATGAGTTATGCTCGAGAGCCGTCGGCGAAAAAAAGAGATCACCACTGAAAAAATAGCAAAATCTGTTTTGTTCTTATAGTCCTTGACACATGTACTTGGCCCTTCTCTTCTCCTTCCCTCTTTTTTTTGTTCAATTGTGCTCCTCCCTCTGAACCACTGTTGCTCAAGACAGATGGTGCGCCCAAAAACAGTGCAGGGTGATTGATACCTGCAGAAATTGGGTTACATTTGGCCCTGTCTCTGTCTGTAAACTCCACTGCCGGTGATTCATAGAGAAGTGGTAAAGAGCACTGCCGGAGCCCCTCGTGGCTGGAACAGGTGTGCAGGAATAGGTTCTGTCTGGAAAACGTAGTGAGAGATTCCAGGGCGTCTCAGTTCACAGTTCTCTACAGTACTCTACTAATATACTAGTATCACCGTTTCTACAATAGGCCTGATAAAGTGACACAATTCCAATTGTAGAGGAATACGATTTTAAAGTGATTTCTTGCAGGTGATACAATTCTTATCATAATCTACACTGCAAGATGACCTTTGTATAACTTCACATTTTCAGCTATGTTCTGTGTGTCTAACTCCTTCTAGGAGCTGAAAGAGACAGAGGAGCTCGACATTCAGCTGAAGGTGTTCAATGAGAACAAGGAGGAGGACTCCATCGAACTCTCACATCGCCTGGATGACATTCGCGCTGAGATGGAATATCCTTTTTTTTTCCCTCCCTCTGTGTGAATATACAGATAAATCGGCCTGCAGAACTAACAGTGTGAGATGAGTGTATATTGTGGGTTTGGTCAAGCTTTACGGGCTTAAGCCTCTCATAGCTTGGTTCATTAGAGAAGGATTTGATGAGCCAGAGCACAATATCCAGCTCCATCTCTGACCAGGTATCGGTAAATAACCCCATCATCTGAACCTCCCACCTATGCACTCTGCTTTTTATTGACTCTCATCCTTGTCTCCTCTCCTTTCCTCTTCTCTCCTCTTCTATTTGACTTAAAGTGGACCTATCATGCTATATTTTAATAATATATTGTAGGGCCATACCTATATAAAACATGTCTGTGAAGTTTCTTTTTCTAAATACCAAACAGATCATGCATTTTAGCCATGCCTCATTTCGCTCTATTTGCTCTTTTCCAGCCCTGTTTTTGCAAGGGCTGATTCTGTGAGAAGTCTTCTTCGCTGCTTTTGTGGCAGACTACATCGCCACTTACAGGCCTGGCATATGTACTACAGCGTATCCAGCGCTTTCGAGCAGCAATGGCCGTGGCCCAACCCCCCATTCCCCTGATAGGTGGAGAGTTGGCCATATAGGCGGAGCTCCCTGTTTCTGACGTCAGAACAATTTCAAATCTGTATCAGCTCCGTTGCAGCCCCGTTTTCAGAGATTTGGGTATGGAGGAAAAGAGAGAGGGTTGTGTTTTCTGACACTTGGTGAGTTCCCTGACACACCGGGGACACATATTCATGTCTAAAAGACGTACAAAAATGCATTTTGCATGATAGGTCCCCTTTAAGTAGGACTGTTGTAAGACAAAAAAAATATATATCAGACTGGCTGGTTCTTACCAGTTATTATTCACAGAACACAATCAAAATCTGTAATGTTGAGTCATATTATATTACATGCACACTATTTCTCCTGTAAAGGCATTATCACGCATTGTCTTACTGTTCCATTTTCAAAATTGGAATTGTCTCTCCCCCAGCGATCTGCCAGCGTCCATTTAACTCCAAACATGCAGAGTAGAAGTTGATAAGGTGAGCCGTAAATTAGTCCAGAGTTAGAGACTTCTACAAGCATCCCAGAGAATATCCTTTAATTATTCACAAATCTTCTCTGCGGCTATGTATGAACGTCTGACATTGTGAGCAGACAAACCAGACGCTGACATTGTTATGCAGATGGTCATTCGCACATCCTCTTTCTTCCACAAAATCCCCGACTTCTAGTTCTGGCACCAAGTTCCGCAGTGAGTGACAGTGTGTGTTGACACATGAGGGTGAGGGGAGGAGGTTGTGGATGTGTGGGAGTGGAGAGGAAAAAAAAGTGCACCTGGATTAATGATGTGCTTGAGCAGGTTCACAAATGAGTAGGCCCACTGTTTGTTTCCAAGGACAATGTGGTATTGATCTGCAGACTCTGAGCATGATTCGAATTCCCAGGCTACCTTTTGTACATTTTCCTGCATAGCTCTCAAACACCCACACACACACAACTGCACACACACGTATATGCATGATATCACGCTGGTAGTACTTCTACTACCTGAGCATTGCATATGTGTCTTGTTTCTCCCAGCAGTTTCATGAATATGAACCCAAGGGGCTTGTCTCCTCTGTGTCCGGCCCCGGTCCAGGTGCGAGGAGGTGACTCCAGGCCACTAATGAATATTAATGAGCTGTGGAATGGTGATTGATTGACCCCAGCACTGACTGGCCGACGTCACACCCGACTGCCACTCATGTTTATTCATTATTTCAAGAGGAAGTGTAAAGAGAGAGACTGGAGAGCGAGAAAAGACAGCGTGGAGGGGGTGTCATCGAACGGATTGGCATTCTACATTAGGTTTATGTCTGCAGCTTAGTGATAGATGAAGCTAGTTGGATACTTTCCCAGTCTGAGCTCCTTCTCATGTCCTCTCAAATGCTGCTGTGGTGAGGCTATAATTGAATCTCGCAGGATTTGTAATTCTCCCAGGCTTCATACTCAGCTAATACAAGGCAGGGAAATGATACTGCAGCGGAGCCTGTATTCCCATCCCTCTCTCTCCCTCTAAAAATTTGATATGGGATACGAGTTTAATTACAGGCATTGTTGAAATTAATAGGAAGAGTGTCAAACAGTATTTAAAAGAATTGATTTTCTGCAATTGCAACTGCTGCAGATTGTTTTGTGTGGATGATGGCATGGAAAATGGAGAATGCAGTTAAGTGCTGTTTTTTCTGTTTTTGAGGGAATACATTATTATTTAATTTGTTTACAGAGTCATCATGCATTAGCTGTTGATGTAACATGACAAATAACATTAGGAATACATAAAGCATTGACAGAACCGTTTAAAACACGTTAGGTGTATGTCCGCTCTAATCGGTCATGGGTTTTGAATAACACCATTAGTAAATCTGTCCATTTTTACAAGATGTTTGTTGCAGTGGATTTAGAAATATGACGGCTGCTATAGTGATCTGTTTGGTCTTAATTCAGTCTGTACACTCAAGCGAAAAACACTCATGCATTTAACAGATATATTCTCTACCTGATACACTAGGGAGAAGCATCACAACATGCTTCATCCTGCCTCCATTATGAAAGTGTTGCTACACTGCTTTGCAGACAGTCTCTTTCACTACGTACATATTCAACACATTGTCAAGATCTGCACTTCATGTTAGGATGCCAATCAGGTTTTCATCACTAGAAGCTTAACAGGGTTCTCTCTCCCAAGTCTTTTTTTTTTGCATGTGTGCACATATCTGAAAGGCTTATTCCACTTTTTCAAACAAGATGAGTCTCCACAGGGAAATCCTCCTTTCTCAAGCAAACAAATTAAATAGGCACGACATCATCCAGTTTCCTGGGGTCTTTGCTTTTTCGAGCTACACTTTTAGAACCCTGATAGAATCACAGATTCAATTATTTTGAAATTAGTATACTATACTTAAGCAATAGCTCACGACAGGCCGTGGTATATGCTCATCCGACGCGAAGCCGAAGCCGCTATTTGTATATAGGGGAAACACTGCACTCCTCAATCCACTCCTCCATAGTAAGACCACCCCGGAGGTCGAAGTTAACCTTAAATGTTTCCATCTTAAGCTTTCTAAGTTTGTTTTGTAACGGACGAAATGTAAATATATTTATAAAACGGACAAGTCAAATCAAGCAATCTGATTGGTCGATAGCGTTTTTGCGGAACATGTTTTGCCGTTTGATGTCTATGTCTGGACCGTTGCGTAAAAAGGAGGGTTTCTGCCCCGTTACTTCTCCGCTGTTTTCTTGTCCCTGTTTGAAAAGCAAACTGCATGCATTTTGCTTTTCATCCCAACTGCATACAGTTCAATCGACCGGACTTCTTTCTGCAGATGTGAGCGTCCTTTAACAACGGTCAATAAGTCCTTGCTTCACATTATCTCTTACATGTTTCCATCTTAAGCTTTGTTAGTTAGTTAGTTTCGTAACGGACGTAATGTAACAGTTGTAACGGTTGTAGCTTTTCTCAGACGTGGAGGGATACTGACTTGTTGTGAAAAGTAACTACAATTCTGCCCGTGGTATACGCTCATTATATCACGGCTAAGAAGCAACCAGATTGCTTGATTTGACTTGTCCGTTTTATAATGTATGTTATACTAGTCCTTGCATTGTTTTTCATTTGATCCTTTCAATATCAAACCTTTTGTATTTCTTTGAAAAAAAAGCATCGCCTTTAGAACAAATACTCAGTGAATTTTTAAAATACATAAATACAGGATATTTGAAAACAGAAGAATACAATGATGGACAGTCTGACTTAACATCTATTTTATATGTCTAAGCCATCACTTCTTCCTCCTGGGGAAAGCAAACGTAAGACACATAATCAATACCTTTTGCAAATGTAATAACTTGGATTTTTCGCTTCTCACTAAATGTCAGTTTTAATCTGAGAAGTGAACCATATTTTTGCCCAGTGAACGATCAGTTCCCCATCATTCTTGCTTTAATCATTCAAACCCATGACTTTTTCTTGTAATTAACTTTCTCTATTGTCAACGCATTCAAGTGACAGGTAGACCATAGGGAGCATTCCTTATTACCAGCCCCCTCCTCAAGTTACCTGTTTACACTGTTTTAGCTCCCCCGAGAGAGAATGAATAAGAAAAATCACATCTCTGTTTGCTTTTGCACAATGATGCCTGTCAGAAACCCTGAAGTGAGGAACTGGGGGAAAATAAATACATGGGTAATAACAAAACACAAACTAATAAAAAAGTAAATGTTTTCGAGGAGTTGAATGAACGTGAATAGAAACTCAAAGTGTGTGTTTTCTCAAGAAGTTTACTCTAACTGTTGACTGAATTGATTGTTTGAATTGTTCTCCTTAACTTGCCTCCTGTACTGATATGAATGAAGTATACCACCTCCTGTCCAACATGGTGAAAGACACAGGATCAGAGACCTACTTCCTTTCAATTCTTCAACACCTTTTGCTCATCAGGAATGACTATTACATCAGGTAAGTTCTTTGATTTTTACAAACAGCTTGTCTCTTAAATAACCTAATGAAGCTCCTCTGTGTTTGGATATACTCACCATTGTTTTTTATGGAAGTAAATAGTTGTGTTGCTTCTGTGGGTCTGTTTCATTGTCTTTGACAACACAAACATAAAACCAGGTATTTGTTTTGTACATTGTTCTCCCCAAAGCTTAAAGATGTCTTCAAGTTTGGAGCAAAACCTAAAATATCTTGATATTTCTGTAACTTAGTTTGCCTATAACTGCTGCCCGTAAAACTGCTGCCCGTGAACGCAACATCTATTAGCTCAGAGAGGTCTAAAAGTCATGTGGAACTTGACTTGACTTGAAAGACACACTGACCCATAGAACATAATGACACACATTAATTCCCTCCGTGCAAGCTCATATTTAACAATGTTGAGCAGGTGGCAATTTATTAGAGTAGTAATAATTTCTTTATTATTCAAGTATTATGTCATTTTAAATGGTTGGGTTTGCTTTCTGCCTTTCTTTTGAGGATCAAATAAGTCATACACTGGGAAGGCAAGCTATACTTCTCCTCTGAATGGAGTGACACTGATGAATTCACTGCTGTGTCAGACCTTTTTGCAGAAATAAGACTTTAAAAAACAGGAGGGGGGGGGTGTGACTTTACCATAGACAAGTTGCCGGTCCTTTGGAGTTATGAATTATTCATTCCACATCTCCTCGTAGGAAGTGAGAAATGAAATTCACATTAACCAGCTAGTTCAGCCCACCTCAGCTCCAGTGTCCATGTCCCCCTCTGTGAGACAACTCTACGAGCAATCAGTACCAGCGCTCATAAAAAATTATGTTTTTGAAATATTTTTTCCCTCCAGCCTCCATCACAAATGCAAGGACAAACCCACACATGTGAACACACAGACATCTATACTAGGAATTCATTTGGACTGAGGCATTTTATTCCACATACATCACTGGTGTGTGATTTCAAATGATAGAAGATGTGGTACAACGGTACATGCAGCTTTTTTCAATACATACTATCCATCTTTTTTCAGTCTTTGCCAATAAAGTAACCATCCTTTCATGTCATGGTCAACATCGGGTGACTTTGAAATAGTAATAGTACAATTTCCCATTAGTAGTAGTTGTGCGATCGATAATTTCTCATCAACTCGCAACAAAGACACAATCATGCATGTCAAAGAATATATGTCATAGCAACAAAAAGCTCTAGTTAAAATTGTTTAATGTGCTGTATGTTGTAGACACGTGTGACAGAGTATGGCTTTGTCTTCAAAGGAATGCAATTGTGCTCATAATATTCCATCTCCAATAAAATATTATGTTTTAATTATTGTATTACTTGGGTATATTAGCACACGTGATGCTTTGTCAACTTAACATCTAAATTAAATGGTAATTAATGTATCAGTATAATACATATTCTAATAATAACTTCAACAGTGGGCCAAGGGTTTAAGTGCTCTGTCTACTGTCATTCCTCCTAACACAACATTAGTTGTTGCGCTCCCCTCTGGGACTTGGTTTATTTTTGATAATTAATCTCTCACTGCAAGCCTAATGAATGGGAGCACATCAAACCCACCCAGTAAATATAGAGCAGATCTGCTCTTTTGGAGCCTAGTGATATGGGGATTAGACTGGTTATGTGGAGCAGAGCTGGATCAAGTGGCTTGGGCTGTGCTGAACTGCGAGCTATCATTGGAAGAAATAGAAGGTGCCAAAGTGAAAGAAGAGGTGGGGAATGATGCAGGGGACATTTGCCTGCTTCTGGAGCCCAGCCCTGCCCACTGTGGAGGGGCCTGACAGTTCTGGGTCACTCTCTGCATCTCTAGTTATCTTCACCCAGCCCCTATCTGCTGGGTGGTGGCGGAGGATGGAGGACGGAGGGAAAATAGGGCGGCTTATTGAGATAATAATGTGGTGTACATTGGTGACAGTTGTAAGCCGAGTGCCACAGTGCTTAAGCCATGCAGGGCGATGTGTGAGCTTTCACTAGCTTGTTCCAATCATGAGTGGGCGAATCCACCAGCTCAAGCTTAATGTATGGCATTTCATGCTTTCAAAACAGTGCACCTAAATGCTGATTTATTCTTATTTGCTTTGGCTCAGAATTTTGTGTTTTTCCTTATTTCTGTTCATAATGTGATACGGCCTGTCCACCCACAAGGCACCAGCACAACATAGCTGTTGGATTTATGGGCAACAGTAAGAACGCTTTGGAAATAAACTTAATTTCGTTTAAATATTGATAAAATAAGTTGCTTTTTTCATGTTCCTTTTACTTTCAACACATACTTAGATGTATGTGCTTTCTTGGTGTTAGACAAATTCGCCCTCCTGAAAACACTTTGCTCACATCTCCGCCTGCCCAAATCAATTATTACATTTCAATAACGTGAATCAAATCAAACTTTATTCTTAGAGGACTTTTCCAACACAATGGTAAAGTGCTTTGTAAAACCAAAAACATTAACAACAATTAGGAACAATACAAACCTCCCCTTTCCAGTTAATAAACACATAACACATTAATAAGAACACCTACTACCAACACAGGACTGAATAAAACAATCATAAAACAATAAAATTAAGATACAAATAAGATTATGCAATAATACATTGAGAATAAATATCAATTAAAATCAAAATTAAAAAGGAGGGTCTTGAATTGGCTCTTAAAGTACGAACATTCCCCCCCCACCCTCAGCCCTACGGGACGCTGTTCCACACTCGTGGGCTGTAATAATAAAAAGACGCCTCTCCATGGGTCTTTGTTTTCACTTCAGGTGTAATTAAAAGGCCAGTACCAGAAGACCTGAGGGTTCTAAAAGGTTTATGAGGTAAAATACCATTAAGAGCTTTAAAAAAACAATAAAACAATTTAAATATTGATTCTAAAGCTCACAGGTAACAAACGCACTGTTTGAATCAGAAATGCAACCATTTTTGTTGTTGTTGTTGTTGTTGGTTTGTTTTGCTTATTTATTTGTTTGCTTTGTCTCTGTCTTTATATACATGTATGTATGCACGTGTATGTATGTGTATATGTGTGTAGGTATGTACATATATGTGTATGTGCATATGTGGGTATACATATGTGGGTACATGTATTATTACATTACATTTCATTTAGCTGACGTTTTTTATCCAAAGCGACTTACAATGACCAATTACAGGGACATTCTCCCTGGAGTAACTAAGGGCTAAGCGCCTTACTCAAGGGCACACTAGTGGTGGTGTTTCCTGGCGGGATTTGAACTCACAACCTTCCGATCTTCAGCCCACCTCACTATCCATTAGACCACCACTATCCCTATTATGGCTATTATTCTTTATTTCCGTATCTATTAATCAATCTTCTTTTAATATTATCTTTTACATTACTGTATTTGTACCTATATATGTATCTATTTACTTAGTTATTTACTTTACTAGCTACTGTAGGACCGGGAGGGGAGGGGGGGAAAGGGGAAGAAAAAATAAAATATTGACTGTATAAATGTAAACTCATTGTGCCTGATTCAATAAAAACAAATTTCAAAAAAAGAAATGCAACAATTAGTTGGTGTCATCCACATGCGTTTTGCTCCTGTGATTGTTGTTACTAATTTAAGGAACAGCTCTTTTCTAACTGAATTATTCTCGAGAATTATTAAGGGTCAGTTTTCTACTCCTGATTCCTCCGTCTAATTACAATAAATGTAGCTTGAGTGGTAATTGGACGGAGGAATCAGGAGTAGAAAACTGATCCTTAATAATTCTCGAGAACAATTCAGTTAGAAAAGAGCTGTTCCTTAAATTAGAAAAACTGAATATGTACATGTTCTAGACATTGTAATAATGACCAAAACAATATTTGAGGCATTTTACTTACTTGAATCTGACAAATCCAGTCCAACAAAGAGATGTTGCTCGTTTGAAGATTCGGAAGTTGTGTGAGTGTATAGCCAGAGGGCAGGACCTGGAAACACATTTAATACCCAATAGCATTGTGAGGCTGAACAAAAGGACCTTTCGACTATGTAAATGTAGTCTTTTAAAAAAACAAAACATTCACTGACTTTTTTAGGATAGCTTAAAGTAATGTTGTAACATTACAACCGCGGGCCTTACAGGGTTAAGAGGAACAAAAAACAAGTTGTCTCTTCTGTGAATTTAACCATCAACTTCTGGTCAATGTCATGCTCTGAAATAAATTATTTCTCAGTTTGGAGCTCATCTTAAGCTGCCATTGTATTTGCAAAATGTCACTTGCAATTAGAGTTGATAATGTTACTGAGAAAAGGTCACATAGAAACCTGCGTGGCGGCATTGGACTCTGGGGCTGATTCACACACCCCGCTCAACAACACCAAGCACTCAGTCTCACTCCTAACTAGCCGACATGTTTTCCCGGTCATTGTGCTTTCAATTACACACATTTCACTGATTAGATTTACATTTCACTTTTTATGGTTGCTCTAATTGGCAAAGATGATTGCAAATTAGGCAAGAGGGCAAGCGTAGCCTTGGCTACCGTCTGTCACCTTGAAATGGACAGACTAACACACACCTGGCTTCTGTGTGCCCATTAATCTGCTAATTTCATGATCGGGGTGAAGCAAGTGATCAAATGTAATAGGTTTCCGATTTTCTCCAGCGGCACACTTTCTGACATGGCATTTTGTGACCTCTAGCTCGGATAAGGGAATTATTTGTGGCTAATTAGCCTTGTAGAGTTTGTGTCAGTCATATATTTCTGTGGCTTGTCTAATTGTTCTGCTTCATGTTTTTTGACCCCTCAGGCCTCAGTATTACAAGGTGATAGAAGAATGCGTGTCCCAGGTGGTTCTGCATCGCAGTGGGATGGACCCTGACTTTGGCTACAGTAAACGATTGGACGTGGACTTCACCCACCTGATTGGTACTTTTTGAATGGCTTCCGATTTCCTCATTCATTCATTTGACATTTGTGTTGGCAATGGTTTAAAATGCTTCATAAAAGTCTTAACATGTTGTAGTCAAGATCCTTATATCCAAACGTCATCCTCAATTTCACTTGTTTTGAACTAAACGCGTACAAGAGGCATGTTATTGATGTTAGTAAAAAAGCTTTTGGATCCTCATAGTCACTCTATTAATCCACCCTCATACACCTGCAGTGTTTCGACCTATAAGACGAGGTCATCTAATTATTCATGAATAATACATTATATCTGGTCAAATGAATTCAGCCAGTTCAAAAACATTGCATATGTTGTTTTCCTGAGTTACTCATTTGCAGAGCGGTGTTCCTGGAATCATAGACAAAACATCTTTTTGCGCTGCATTTCTAATGGAGAATTTCTTTCAAACAGAGAAAATATATAAATAACACCACTTTCTCGCATCTGTTGTGTCTCAAACAGTTCTGCGACTTGCCAACAAAGGGTCATTAAAAGTTTCTAACATATTCAGAGAGAAATATCATATCATTGAATAAGTTCTTTCACTCACTTTTCTGCAATTTAATCAGTTGAGGAAAATACTTTCAACAACATGTTTTGTTACATTCACATAAAATGAAATAGGTGCCATATCATCATGAGTCATTTGAAGGTGCGTCGTCTCTATTCTTCTTTCCCGTTTTCTTTCACATCCCGCTGTTTCCTAATAATTATTTTGAGAGGGGTAAACCTGCTGCGGGATGTGTGATCTAACAATCATTTACACCTAAAACTTGCACATACACTATCCTTCAGGTGATTCATTTATAGGTTAATTGTACCATGTGGCATTTGAAAATCTACCCAAAATACAAAAAAAAACGAAACACACAAAAAGGAATTTGAAAAAAGATACGTTGGCAGAACACTGTTTATGTTTAGTGCTTTTCCACTATTAAAATAAACCATTTTTCAGTGATAGTAAATCTGCTAGTGTCACGCAGACTGTATGTAAAGTACATTTTGAACATATCATAAAATGCTATACCCTTAAAATGTAAGGTTATATGATTCATATGAAGGGCTTGAATTCCTTCATGATGCACTTTTTACGCATTTTTATAGTGATATGCATCTATGGTTTATAACAGCTTTGTAAGCCAATCTTAAGATGTAAACATTTAATAGATCTAACATAGCATTTTAGATACAAGCTCTAATATACTTTGAGAAACAAGAGCCAGGTCTAATTGTAACTTTCACATCAGCAGGTAATGATGCACATCGCTCCTTTGAAGTATCTCCTAACTGTGGCTCTCTTGTCTTGCAGATCAGTGTGTGGATAAAGCCAAAGTTGAGGAGAGTGAGCAGAATGCTGCAGAGTACTCCAAAAAGGTGAGACATTAATCACTCCCAACAGCCCCCTCGGTTGGCTGGCTCCCATCAGGAAAGTTTTTCCTCCCTAAGAGCTCCCAGACAAGCTATTGATTTCCATGCCCTGATCAATACCTGGGTGTGACGCTACATGATCCGTATCAGCATTACAAGAATCAATGCCGATGTACTGATGTATACTTATTTGTGCACAGCGCCGGGACAGAGTTAACATATGTGCCGGCTCTTTTAATTCTGTTCTGCATTTCAAGCTGGCTCTTCAAGGGGTTCTCCGTTTATCTAACATTTCCTTTTAAGGTAATTACATAGATTAATGGTTGAGAAGGTAGCAATTTCTAAAAATAACTTCTTTTTTTTTCAGCGCTGATCAAATCTGAATCAATACTCTTCAGTACCAATTGCTTGCCTCAATTGCATTACAGTATACTGTTTTGCTGTATGATGAAAACGTTAGTTGACAGATTATTTATCTCATGCACTGCTGTCAAATATGAGTGCAGCAATTATGATAACATGGTTTTTTTTATCAAAAGTTCCCAAATTAAACTATAATTGTGTCTTTTATTAATTTGATAGTGAAATCATCTAATTTGAAACCTTACCTCCTGCTTATGTTTTATGATGTTTTAATGTATCTTAAAGAGCCTCACTTTCCCTGACTGGCAAAACACCCAGGGGGTCCTGGATGTTTTTTTCTTAAGAATCCTGTGATAGCAGCCCACCGCCTACCCTGCTGGGCCATTGAAATCATTGTAGCGACATGTCTTGGTTTCTGCAAAGGTTAGATCCATCAACATTAATGAAAGCCATGCCTGAAACAAAGACGGAGGACACCAGGGTTTTGGGGCCATGAGAGCTATGAATAGAAATCGGCCAGTGTAAAGACAGCGTGTTTTGGTGGCTGTTGATGTGCCCTGTGGCTGCTCTCAGGAGACAATGTGCCGCTCACCAACCTGTGTGTGTGTTTTCATCTATCTCATATGTGCACATACTTGCTTCTCTTTTCTGACAGTTTGATGAGGAGTTCAGTGCACGGCAGGAGGCGCAGGCCGAGTCTCAGAAGAAGGAAGAGAAGATCAAAGAGTTGGAGGGGAAAATCCAGGCCCTGGAGTCCCAGGTAAATCCATACAGAGGAATCCCACTGCTCTGCAAAACTGTTTTGTATTCCCCTAGACATCTTTTAGATTGTATGTTTTCCAAAAAAAAGCACAAATCAGAAAGTACTGCAAATTCTAATATCCAAAAGTTATTTTGATCACTGTTCTAAGTGAAAAGAAAACACTCATGCAATCTTATATTGAAAAAGAAAAAGGATGTTTATCCTCCAGGGGTAATGGCTCGTCTCCATAAAGAGCTGATTTGGTCAGAAGGATACCTTTCAACCTCACGAACAGCTGTGCTGCTGTAAGTGGAAGTTATCACCCATGCAAGAACATTTGATTTAATAAAGGGTCAAGCTCCTTCTTAAGTTGTAGCTCTTTATATAGGTGAATTGCTCTATTGAAGCTTTTTCTATGTAATTATATCATCACAGAGATGGATTGCATTTCCTTTCCTGGACTCTACTTCATTTCTCCCCATGCAATACCCTCCATTTTGATCACAGAAACTGACTGCTATTTCCCCCTTAACCCAATTCCAAATACTTTAGTACTGCCTTGGGACAAAAGGGCAGTTTGCCTCGCTGCTTAGGGAATTTAATATAAACCAGCTTTGAAAGATGGTATAGCTACATTTATATCAGAAATTGCTTTTTCTTTCAAACATTCATCTCAGGTTGCTTAGGTTGTCTGATAAACGGCACCTGCGTATGTGGTCCATCACTGGGAATGTTCTCGTTCAGTTGTAAAATAGTGTTACTCCAGCCTCTGGCAATCATTCTTAGGTTAACAACAAATGCTGTTATGTAGTACAAGCTATGGCTGTTGTCCTGGCCAAAGTCACACTCTGGGTGTTTCTCAATCGCGAGTACGCTTGCTTGGTAGCACATGTCTGCCGAGCATCTTGCTTCAGAAGCGAGGCAAGAATACTTCCTGCCATTCGGAAAACAAAGAGTGGAACAGGCTAGCAAGTGTGCAGGTGTGCGTCATATGAGAGGCCCCGCCTTACATCTTCCGCCACAGATTTGGGGAAATTGGTCCGTGCGCAAAGCATTGTGGGGATTTTAAGACCGCGAAGTCTACTCATGTGCAGCCTCGATATTTCTCCAAACGGAGTACGCCGGGCTCGGTAGATTTCCAAGTATGCTGGAGATTGGAACAGTACTTCGGCGGCACTCGATGACGTAGTATGCTTGAAATAGTGGCTCTGAAGCAGCTTTACTCGCGATTGAGAAACACCCATTGTTTCTCTCCTCAGAACTTAGTATGTGTGTAGCTCTTACTCTTGAACTTCATATCCCAGAATCCCCACTTGTTTCCTTCATGCGTATCCTACCTGGTTCATCACTCAGTGTGTTCCTGATGAAGGCCTGGCTGTTTTATTGAGAGCATCAACATGTAAAGCTCCTGTCCAGCTGCTCGCCCCCTTCCTCCCTTGCTCTCTCCTTCTTCCACCTTCTGTCAGATATGAATGCATCAGGCTGTGTTACCTTTGCTTGCCCTCTCTCCCTTGTTGGGGCTTCTTATGTTGTGTTTCCAACACATCTTCCCCTCACCCTCCCCTGGCAGGCCTCTGTCTTTTGAAGACTGACAGACCATGGTGCATTAACAGGTAGTGTAAAGCAGAGAAGCCCCTGAGAGTCAAGCCCTCTCTTCCTCTGTTTGTCTGACTGCTCCTTCAAAGAGCTCTTACTGCAGGAGAGCCTCACATCAACACACATTAACCTCAGCCGGGAAACGTGTAATTTGTTTGGCACAGACTTGCATGGATGTGGCCATAAGGACCTAAGTATATCCATATGCAACTTGACAAAGCATACATTAAGTGTATTTACTTTACTTTAAATGTAAATATTATCCCTTTAAAACCTTAATGTTCACTCCCCTTATGTATTTAAGCTTAATACGAGTTGATTATTGGGCTGTAAAGGCTTCATTAAAAAACAAAAAATAAGATATCTTCTAATGTATTCAAGTTCTGTATTAGTAATTCAGTTATGTCCTGTTTTTTATACAAGGCATGTGTTCACATAGACCATTCAATTGCTACCTTAAGCAATGAACTAAACAACTGTGTCATCCTCTCAGATGGCTGAAAGAATGTGTTTTGCATCCCAATTCAATCTCAACACAATGTTGTCGAAGGCCATTAACTGAGAGCGCAGAACTTTCAAATCAGCTCGAGGACACGCATTCAGTTTGTCCATCAAAGATGCCGTGTTATCACTGTCGCTTTGCTGAATGTGAATGAAGTGGGAGCTAACCATAACCTTTCATCTACTACTTAGAATTCCTGTCAGATATTAAAATACATGCATGCCTGAGTCGCTCCTCTTCACCTTGTTTGTGAACCAACACATTTAATGAGAGTCTTTGTCTGGGATCTTTGGCATTGTAACAAGCAGCCTCCTTGATGTGTCTCTTTGATTATCTCCCAATCGAGTTGAGTGGAGGTTCTGCATGTAAACATAAACAAAGGACATATGAATCACAACAAGTGGAAATCATCAACCGGTTCCCAATCCTTTTCCTTCAACCATTGAAAGCTAGAAAAAAGGAAGCTATTGAATTGGCTCCGGATGTGATGAATAATGTAGCACTGCAGTGGTACAGTGGAGCACTCTGCACCATCCCATTAATAGGTTTTAACAACCTGGCGGTCTTGTAGCTGACCCGGCTCAGTCCCCAGAGGAGCTGGAGGTGTAGTGCACCACTTCCTATCTCTTTTTCTGTCAGGCTGCCCCGACTGATTACTGAATTTGACTCAACTGATAATGACAGCAAAACTCACAATGTAGTCTCTATTATCCTCGGAGAGCCGATTGAGTTGTTAAGTCAGACATGTACTGTCAAATTCACTGTCATTCAAATGTGTTATCCAAGCAGCCCTACATGAACAGAAAATGGTGGTCAAAAGAGCTGGACTTCTAAGAAAGCAAGACGTGCCATATTCTATCTGATTTAATTATCTGTGGCTGGTTCTTTGGAGCTGCGATATCTCAAAGCCTCAAAACTTTAACCCTTAAAGAAGGAACAAATCCTGTCTTCGCTTTGAAGATTTTACTTTACTACAATTTCCTAAGCTTCTTTCGAAAATAACATTTTTTTTAGCAACCATACCCAAACGTTTCCACCTCTTTTCAATTTCAGACATACACTATTTAGTTTTCTACAGTCCATAATTGGATGTGTTCTGTAGGAATGACTCCATAAAAATATTACATTTCAGTTGCTGCGGAACACGTTCCCAGCGTCTTTCTTTTGGCAATGTTGCACAGAGTGAAATATCAAAGCAAAATGGGTACATTTCTAAAAAACGAAGAGTACAGAGTGAAATCAATGCCCATCACACATCTAAGAGTGTTAAGTTGAAATGTATTTTGCGATGCCAAAAAAGAAGAAAAGGGAAATGGAAGCAGGGTTTTTAAAGGTTCACCAACTGTCAGTGAAGCTGTGCCTTGTTCCTTTCATGCCGCAGTCAGTGCTCTACACTGATGTTCTTTTGAAGGTAGATTACATCTTGTTTCAGGTGTATAGGTGCGGTACACTGTGCCTTTTGCACATCAAATAGCTTGTTCAGTCATAATGGGAGTAAAATAGTGTATTTGTCATTAACTGTGTAAGGGACATCTTCTTTTCCCTGCTTGCCTCTTGTTCTTGCTTTTCTGTGTTTGGTGTATGTGCCATACCTGATCATGTGTGTACTATAGTGTTCTTATTCTTTCCTGTCTATCTAACCCACGCCCATGTGTGCCTTTCTGTTGCCCTGTGTGTGTGTGTGTGTGTGTGGGTGTGTGGGTGTGTGTGTGTGTGTGTGTGTGTGTGTGTGTGTGTGTGGGTGTGTGGGTGTGTGGGTGTGTGGGTGTGGGTGTTGGTGTTGGTTGTTTCTGCACAGTTAACTATTGAAAAAGACAAGCTCACAGAGGCTCAGAGACTCATCAGTGAATCTGAAGCCAAGGTGGGTGTCCTCTTTGCATGTGCAGCCCTGAACACAATCACACTTTTAACAGCCTGCAAATACATTCTATCTTTCAAACAAATTATATTGTGGTGCTTCGGATATGTTGTTAGAAAACAAAGCTTAAACCCTATATTGAATTGATAACTGAAATGCAATAACATTAACAATGAATTGATACAAAACTTGAATGACTGCTTGATTCTTAAAATAACTAATCCGTCAAATTAGCCTGAAATAAAAACAGTTTTATTTCAATTAATAATATATTAAACTCCTTTTGTAGTTTTTACCTACAAACAATTCTTGTTTGTTCAATGTACGTTTCCTAAGTAAACACTTTGTGATTGAATTCCCCTATCAGAGATGAGATTGGGGCATAGATTTAATCACATAGCATTCACAGTTAATTACCTGCCATGCTGGCCTCCCAATTGAGTCCAGAAGACTAAGAATCCAAATTGGATGGGTTATATTTCATATTAGCCGCAATTTATACTTAACAAAGAGCTCCAGATGGGCTCTGCAAAAGTATGAAGAGCCAAAAAGCATCAAAGAGAACCTTCACTAGCTGGCGAGAAACACAACATCAAACATGCAGAATCAGAGTAATTACAAATAAAATGTTAGAATAAAAATATTTCTAGACTATGTCTTTGTCGTAATGTTTCTGTATTTCATCAATACATAATCCAATATGTTTTCATATTGTATTTAAACATTAATCTTCCTATACCGTATATTGTACTTTAGTTTATTAATTCAGAATAAGACACATGTAGGCTATGGACGTACAGTACATATTACATGCAATACATGTTTGAGCATTTTGATAACAATGCAACACAAAACGTCTGATGTTCTCCAATATGACCTCAGTTTAAAATAGCTGTTTTATTTGAGTCCAAAGACACAATTATTATACACTTTACAACATAGGCATATTTCTTTTAGTATCTTAGAAATAGGAAGCCAGTAGCGATGATATTGGATCCTCAGGGTTCTGTGAAACACTGGGCTTATTATTGGCTGGATCAGAGAGAGAGAGACTCAGAGGGCCTCTCAGTTTGGAAACAACTGCGCTCCAATTTAGCAGCTAATTTGCTTCCATTCTCTCATATTAATCTTAAAAGAGGAAACGGGCCACGGAAGGCTTGAGATTGACAGACATGTAATCATTGATGTTGATTTTCAGTAAAAGGTCTTGGGCAATCTGTGTAAGAAGCTCCCTTTTTAATTTTGGTCCTAATAAAAAAATCAGCCAGTGCCATTATGTATTGAAACACAACGTAATGTCTCTAAATATGAAGCCAATCACATGTTAGGCACACAATCAAGTGACTGGGGCTAACGCAGGATGTGGGGAATTGGTTTTGGAAATGAGAAGTGCAAGTGGGAACGCTATTTGTTTAAAGCTGGCATCTAATCAGCTCCAAAGATCAAACTCTGTCTTAGCCCGGGTGTCTGTAATTGTTGTATTTGCATAACCTTTTTCTCTATAACATTTTTCTACTGGCATAATCACTGACTACCTGTGTATGTGGTTTGTGTGATAGTGCAGACATGTCAAAGGACTGAAAGAGTCTGTCTTATCAGTCTGTGCGGTAATTACACCCCTGTCTACTGTTTAATAGCCTGCCATTGTGAGGACTTATAATGAAGACTTGATGGGAACGCAACATTCTTATCTTTTGTAAATTATAACAGCAGTAGATCACAGCTTTTTCATACATTTGACTATTTACATTGATATCCATTGAGATTAATGAACACAACCCTTAAACCAATGCATAACTCTCCATATAAAGCAGCGTAATGGAAGGTAGCGTTCCAGTAATGTTATTCTAAAATTAGCTTAACTAGTTGTTTTTAATATCAGTGGCCTGAATTGAATCATAGTGTGAGTTTTGCCTTTAATGGACAACTGAAGTGCAGCATATCTGGTTTTATGTGGTTATGTGATTGATAATGAAGAATTTTATGATTGCTTCAGAGAACCATTGCTTTTTACAATCACCACGAGTTGATTGTTATATTCAAGCACTAGCTTAAGTACTGTATTGGCTAAATATCCCGGGTTCAACAATATAAGCCAAACACACTTATTAAAACACTTAAAAAACAATTAAGTACAGAAGACAAAAAACAATTGTCCTAATTTATAAAAGCAACATTATCAAATCAAATTTTTCTTCATGTACAATGACTTGCCACATAAATGATTGTGTCAAATTGATAAAGGATCTTTTAAATGGAAACTTATGATCAACATAATTGTATATAGTTAATAGTTTTTAGCTTAAAGCTTGACCAATCAACTTGGCAACCAAATACACCAACTCGGTTTTGATTATGATTTTCTTGGTAAATATAATTCTGAGAACAGCATAAGACATGACATGACCTTGGAGGGCAGCACAAACCATCTTGAAATAAAACACTGCAGTGAGGTGTTTGCTTCATGACACACATCCAGCAGATCGAGGTTTAGATGAAGCGCTTAGCACATCGTTTGATGTTTTGACCATCATTAACCTTTTTACCCTGTATTTGCAGATTGCAGCGGGTCCAACTGCGCCCGGACCCCCACCTCCACCACCTCTTCCAGGGGGTGCAGCGGCCCCCCCCACCTCCTCCACCACCTCCTCCCCCACCTCTACCTGGTGGCTGTTTTCCCCCTCCACCACCTCCTCCTCCTCTCCCTGGTTATGCTGGGATACCTCCACCCCCCCCGCCACCCCCTGGCTGTGGACCCCCACCACCTCCACCCTTCTTTGGGGGCCCAGGCGGGCCTCCACCCCCCCCCTCATTGCCTGTCATAAAGCTGCCTTACGGACTGAAGGCCAAGAAAACCTACAAGCCTGAGACCGTGATGAAGAGAGTGAACTGGACCAAGGTACGTAACCTGAGCTCTGAATCTCTGCAACTCATATTCTCAGGGTCACTGATGCCCCTTTCACACCGGCGCTTTTCCAGCTCCTGCTGGGAGCTAGAGCCTGAAAAGCGCCGGTTTTTCCTGTTCACACCGCAGCGGCGGCGCGTCATAGCTCCGGAATGCGGTTCACTTCCAGCTCCAAAAAATTGTCGGTCCAGAGGCAAGAGCTTCGGAGCTATGACGCGGCGTCGCTTACGTCTCTTACGTCGAGGCGTGCAGGAAACCTTACTTTGACCATCCGTTCGCTGTTATTGATCATTGTGGAGATACATGGGCTATACAGGTTGTCATGTCCGACTATCAGAAGTAGAATCATAATGAAAAATACGCCGGTAAAATGTGCCTATAGAAAACGGCTTAGCAAGTAGTCAGTTTAGCTTCGGTTGCTATGCTAACATCACCCATGTTATACCAGAGAAACTTTCATAACAGCGTTGTGATGCCAAACAGCGTCAATTCAGACTGACACACATTCACTTAAGGGGAACTGGGGATATGTATCAGCTGCTTGTGTGACAGTCAGACAGTGAATACTTTAGAGCCGTGTGAGCTAACCCGGAGCTAACGGGAGAATACACTCCCGTGGAAGAGCAGCCAGCACTGCAGCGGTCGGTAAATGCCGCTGAAACACATTAATAAACAATGAACCACGGCACTCAGGAGAAAAGTATAAGGTTGGAGAAATCGTTATTTAATTTAATCTGGCTTCGTATGATTAAAAGCAACACGATCGTCGACCCGACGCAGTCCCCGGCCCGTTGTTGTGGGAGAAAATCTCTCGGCAGCTCTGGGCAGTGTGAACAGAGCGGGAGCTGAAAAGGGAAACCGGAGCTGAACCAGAAAAGCTCTCGCTAGGAGCTAGAAAGGGAAAAGCGCTGGTGTGAAAGCCGCATGAGAGGGCGTTGACATTAATTACTGTCCATTCCTTCACAATCACATATGCAAACATAGACTTTAGAAAAGTGTTGAACCCTACACTATTAAAAATGCAGAAAAAAGTCTTATGGCGCATTTCCACTACACGGTCGGCCTCGGCCACACTCGGTACGGCTCGGTACGGCTTGGCCGCGTTGGGCCTTAACAGGGCCGACTCACTTCATGCTGCGCTTCCATTACAGTTTAGGAACTGGGGTAGTTACTATAGTAACGCAGTGTAGGCGGAGCCGTGACGTCATCTTCAATGAGAACTCCAGAAACACAACACAGCCGTTAGCTGTGAGCACTCAGAGCTCACAGCTCCTTATATATGTTCAGAAACTCGACAAAAGTTAAACAAGTACACACCACAGACTGCCTGTGTCATGGTGAATACAGTCGCTGCTTAATTTATGTCTGTATAGGCCGTTGTTGTGAGTGTGGACGGTCGGGGCATATACTGCGTTAGCTTAGCCAATCTCCATCTAGAAAAACACGAATTTTAAAAGGTTTTTCGCCTGCCGTCTGTCTGCAGACTTGACAAAGCATTAATTCATGGTTTTTACTAACCGGTATCAGTATGTTGTTACTTCGGCATCATTTTGAAACGTGTATTACAATTAAATCACGGTCAAATATGTCCATCTTGTTGTAGTTCTAGCCCTCTTGCCAGCGCTCCTCTCTCTAGTTTAGCATACTCAGCCCGACTCAGCCCTGTTTGTTGGCCCCGATAGAACCACAATTTTCTAGGGCCAGAAAAGAGGGGAAAAAGTGGCCCCGCGCCGTGCCGCGCCGGAACGAGGCCTAGTGGAAGCACAACCAAAAAAGGGGACGGCACGACACGGCACGCTTAAAGCGAGCTACGCGCTGCAATGGAAATGCGCCATTAGATCCAAACCAAAACGGTTCTATTCAAATGCACTCTACTAAGGCAATTTAGTCAAACAGCCGTTCAGCCAAAGGCCACACTGTTCCACACTCAGCACCCATTTCAAAGGATTTAACAGTAAACAGTTTTCATTGCTCAAATGTCCTTGGATTTGCACAATTAGCATACTTAAATGAAACTGGGCTGTGTAACATTCCATCACATTTAAATACAATTTCAACCTGACAATCTCTTGTGTGAGAGCGCTATTTTACCATAGATAATTTAAACATTGCCTCAGGACATCTTAGCATTATTTTAATGGTTATTTGCCGATGCTTGTATGACCTTGCATCTTTGTCTACAATTACTGAAAGCAACCAAAACATCAGACTAGTTCTTTTTAAATCATGGAAGTACTGCACAGTGTACTCATTGATTTGAACGTATTATATAAATATATTAGAATGATAGTGATTTTTATCATAGCCATCACTTTCTATCACTTCATCACAGTTAAACAAATTGGGATTTTGGAGTTAGAGGGAAAATTATGAATAGAGTCATACAGCAGTGTGAAATATTATGTTACATGTTATGCAAACAGTAAAAAAAAACAGACATTTTGTTTCTTAAAACAGGGTATGACTCTTTCTGCTTTGTAATATTTTATTTGACATTTTCTCGAGAAGTATCATCATGGTTTTGGACATATGGTTTGTGTGCATGCAGGGATGTGCACATGCACATTGTGTGGGAGTGTGCAGAGGTTAATGAGCAGGTGCATTGACCTTGCCTCCACAGGAATTGTCGTTTGGTAATGCAAATTAAATTCATAACCACCTGAGGAAAAACAATCTGTGTCTCTCTTGTGTCGATTAAGTGGGACAAGAGTCGTCTGTCTTCTCTATGTGTAGCAGATGGAAGTATGGGAGTGCCAGGAGCAACTATGATTTAGTTGTATAAAGAGGAAAGAGAAACAATACATACTTTTCCTCTTACCTCTTTTCCACTTCGCCAGAAAAGGGTGTGAATCACTAGGAATGCATAGGAAAAAAGTGGCCTGTTGTGTTATTGTTCAAATGTTATGTGGGCATTTCCACACTCAGGGGGCAGCTTCTCAATGGGACAAGTTGTAATATTTTCACATTTTAAATTACAGTGCTAGGGATTTGGTGGCAGTGAATTCTTAGTCAGAAGCACAAGGCCCCCACATGGGAAACAACCAGCTTAGGCATACATTGGGAAATGTCAGCTTTGTTTAAGTGCTGAGTGCATTTTATATTAGCCTGAGTTATTTTTACCCTGCGTGTTCTCCCACATCTGTGTCAGTGATTCCCACTGAAAGTTATTAGCAAATAACTGTGGGACTGTCAAAATGCCAACATAAACCATTTTTTTCTCGTTGCCATTTCAGCTATTTAATTTTGAATTTGAAAACTATAATTATAATGAAGTGAGTATATTTTATATGCATTCCACATAAACAAATAAAATGCATATCATTTAATGAGCTGATTAAGGATATCTGTAAACATGGACATTGGAGGAACGAAAGGCTGCATGGATGAAATCAGATAACGTAAATAACATTGTTGTTCAGATCATCTTGAGTCAGGCTAATTTTGAGGAACTATATCCAGCATTAACACATTTCTTCTCTCTAAAATAGATGACATCTTTATTTAGGTCAGGCCCAGTGTGAAACCCCAAGAGTTACAGTATGCACCGCGCTGAATTTGAAATACCATAAATTAGAATTTCCCCCCAAAAATCCCCAATGAATATTGTATCCAGTCTATTGGTGGTTGTGGAGGAAATTCTTAAGAGAAACCGATAAATGATTCATGGACAAAGTCTGTCTTTTGTTATATTTAATAAAGTAATAAAATAAGTCAATATACAAGTGAAATCGACCCCACATGTAGGAACAGAGGTACTTCATCCTCAGAGGATAGAGTCCTTTGAGTATTTTTCTATTCAGCCCAATGCTGTATTTAAATGTATATGAGATGAGTATGTTTTGACTCACCTTTTAACGTGGCTATTCAATAAAACGACAATATTCTTTACCACTTTTATGATCTTGGAATCCCAATTAAAAGAATGGCAGAATTTTAACAAGCAGCAACAACTTCATGAGCTGTAGAGATCAAGCATTCAAACACATCTCATGGTGTTACACAACGCAGTTCTTCCAACCACCTCGATTTCTTATTATACATGCATCTGTTGACCACAATCATTAGATAGTTTCATGTAACATAGCTACAGTAGGGTTTGTGTTTTTAATTAGAATCAGATCATGAACCCTTTTTTAAAGGAATTGTTGGTCTAAGTCTTCCTTGAATTGCTTGTTTAAAGGACTATGGGCTTTGACTACCAGTTGTTTTGTGTTATTAAAACAAATGTTGTAGTGTAGAAAAGTTGCAATTCCAAATTAATCCTCCATTATACAGTAGTTGTTTCTGGTTGTTTCATTTTGTTACTTTGCACTTCCACACTCTCTCATCTTGTAAGCTAGTTCAATATTTGACTTGTTTCAGCATGCGCTATTATGTTGAGTAAAACAAATGGGTGCTGTTGTAGGTGTAAGAGCTTTGATCAGGAAATATAAGTCTGTTTTTCTGAATAGAGGCGCGTTGTTATCCGAACTCCACTCCAGCTCATGTTGAAATGTTCGTAAGCATTCCATTTAAACACCTAATGTTATCGTGAACTCTGAAACACCGTTACACTCATCACCATTTCTATATGGTTTGGGGAATTATTTCACAGCATCGTATCTCTGTCTGTCTGCATCGCATAAATGTTGCACTTCCATCTCTTTCTGTGCGTGATTACTGTGATTTTTACGAGGTTAATGGCAGCAGTGAAAGGGGCCAACTGCAGGTCGAAGCCCTTGATAAGAGCTCTTACCATATCACTGAACACAATGTACAGCAGATGTTGTGTTACACAATTAGCAAGTAATAACTGCAACATGTCAGATGGGCTTGTTTTTGTCTGAATCTCTCTGTACACCTACTCTCTACCGAGCAGAGAGTAGGGAATGAACGATGAGGGGAGTGAGGCATCCCTGTGGCCTGCTATCAGCTCAGTGTGTGTAGGTGCCTGGTTGCTTCTTAGAGGCTTTGCTGTTTCAGGCAAGTCTATGTAGGAGGAGTGTGTACACAGGGTTGCTGATATTTTGCGCTGAACACTGAAATTCACATTTGATTATTTTCAGAGGTTTCAAATATAACATGTTTTGAAAAATCATCAAGAGCTTTAATGTGAAGGTTTCAGTCAAGACCTAGCCACATGTCTTCATTTTCGGTGGTCATATTCATGCATTTTTCCATAAAATGAAATAACTTATTTTACCTCGCAGGCTCCAGTTTTGCTTTTTTTGCCTTTTTTGTTTGTCGTTGTGTTGGCTACTCAGATTCTAAAGATGCTCACACAAGGACATATGTGTGCCCAAACACACAAAAACACACACAAACCTCATCTCCAGTGAGAAGAAGTTTTTGAGTGGCAGGTTGCTGGAATGGCGGTCTCTGATTGTGGTGATAATGGAATCCTTGTGTCATTGCAGATAGTGCCTCAGGAAATGGCAGAGAATTGCTTCTGGATCAAAGTCAAAGAAGAGAAGTTTGAGAATCCTGACCTATTTGCTCAGCTCTCCCAGTGCTTCTCCTCGCAGAGCAAAGGTAAGGAGGCGTCATCTGCCTGCATCTCTTCCTTAATTAATCTACACACACATGCTTCATTTAGCCTCTCAGGCAATAGACGCCAAGCCACTTTCATCTTGTGACACTTTAAGAAGTCATTTTCCTCACTGAAATGTTCATTATCCTAAAACCAAGCACTTTTCCCACTGCATTTGAACACCATCTACAGTATGTATGCTCTCAAGTCAAATATCTCTGCCAATTACGGATAGCAATTCGGTTGCTGCAGTGCTTTTATATGTGTCTTTGAGAGACAGAAATGCAATGTGGCTGCACATTGTGTTTGCTCTTTGTACCCATTGAGGAGTAACAGATCAGTGTTTTTGTGTGTGCGGATGTGCAAACAAACTTGAACTTGTACGTGTATGTGTGAACCGAGAGCAGTTATGCTTGGGTTGCTTCATGCCTTTTCCAGTCCAGTAGGCCAATTCTGCGCCGGGGAAGACGGGAGGCTTTTGTGAAGGAAGCTATGGGAGTTTTCTTGTCCCTGCCAGTTGTTTCTCGGATACACAAGCAGGCTACGTAACTCGCTGATGAATAACACAAGCAGCACAGAGCAAGTTTGTTTTTGTATGGAAAGGAAATGTGTGTGAAGGCAATTGATGTATTCCTCCCATGACAATATGAGTGTTTTCCACTTATTTGACAGTGTTTGTGTGTTGCACATTCCTCTAATTCGAGCAGCAGTGGGAGGGGAGAAGTCAGTGCCCTGTCAAGCGCACCACAGTCAGATCTGAGCTCTGTCAGGGTGTGTGGACACAACTTTACAGAATCCTCCAACTTCTCCCATATTCCCACCGTCTGTTTGGACACCAGTCAGCCCGCCGGCAGCTTCTTGCTCTGTCTCTCTCCCCGCCTCCGGGTCTACAAACTAGACTCAACTCATTTTTGTTCTGTGACATAAATAGCAACCTTTCCTCAGCTGCCGCTAGGGTGATTTACTGTCATAATACAGATGGAAGGAGAATGTGGGAAGGAAAGAACAGTTGTTGCGAGGCTAAATGAAGAAGCAGGGATAGGTCTCTCGTGTTTCATTAGAGGATATCTGCCAGACGTTATATATTTCAACACGTGCTCTCTGACATTTCTGAAGTCATTTAACCAGACTCCTTTGCAATAACTATTTATTTATCTATTTTTCGGGTCTTTCATTTTAAATTTAGTGTCAGCAACTCAGTAAATCTGTATGTTTGCAAAGCACACCTGCTATAAAATACATTTTCAGATGGAATCCTAAAATGAAATATTACTTAACATTTGGAGCTTCACAGACACACGGCATTAATTCAGCTTTAAATGTCCTTTTCAATTCTTTATTGAATTCACTTTGTCACCCACTGGGGTTTTTGAAAAGCACAATAGATTGTCCATGTTCCCGCTGGCAGGGTAGGAATTCATGATGCAGCATTTCCCACGGGAGTTACCTTTGCTGGATCCCTATCAATTACCCCCGCAGCGACTTCACTGAATCAGCTCTTTTCCCTCTATTGTTGAAAGAGAACATGATTTGCTCATGAATGAAAAATGCTGCTTAATGTTTGATATCTACCCACCCCCCCTCGTCAGTGAAGTTGAAAGTCAATGAAGAAGGCCTTTGATGTAGATGGTATTGCAAAAAAGGTGCTAGATCAGATCTTCTTAAAATGAAATAGTAGTTCATTGGTTTTTCTATTTCCTCTATTTCGTGATTCATGCAGTATAATCTTTTAAATACATGCCATCTGAGGATATAAAAACGATAAGTGTGCTTCAATATTTAACATTTTCTCTTTAACATTCCTGACTTATTTCTGCTTTGAATATTACCTATTTGAGTAGTGAGGCCCCAAGTGGAGTCTGTTAACTTGTATTGGTTGTTGTGTTGAAGGGTTAGGTGGAGAAACGGTCCTGCACGAATAATTCATGATATCTGGTACTCTCGTTGTAACCACGGGCCATAAATCCTTTCTGCTGATTTGACAAACAAGTCACTGGTGAAAACAGACTTCATTTGTCTGCGATATTGCCCCCTGTTTTTTTTTATCGCACAAACATACATACATACAAAGAAACGAACGCATGCACACACACACACACACACACACACACACACTTGTTTTTTTATCTAAGCTTCTAAACTTCCATCTTTGCCACATTTAAGACATGGATATTTATAAGTAAAGCACTCTTCAGGGGGACTAGTGTATCGTGAAAGATGAGGCAAGCAGGTGTAAATGCCTTCCCTGCAGAGCTGTCCCCATAAAATGGTGCCAAAAGGCGTCTGTTAACTTCACGGACCTAGGCATTCTTGCTTGTTACTTGCATTGTTGAAGAACAACACTTTAGCAGTAAAAGTAAAAAAAGCAAAAAAGAATCACTTTAACAGCCCCCAATTTTCTGAATCTTATTGTGCTCAGAGGCCTCTAAAACCACGGAGAAGCAAGACTGTCATCTCCCCTGCTGCTTTTATGAGTCTCACTGTTTAATGAGTTTTCCAAGAAAAGGAAATGATAATCAAGAGCGATTTCGAGCTCGGCTTCAATCTTCTAAAAAGTGGATTTTTATTAATATATTTTTTGTTGTCATTTATTAAGTGATAGTTATTTGGCCTGATTGGAAATTCATCACATATGTCAATTATTAAGTGTGAAGGCCACTGACATGTCACTGATTAAATAATACTGGCAACATCCACTTGTAGCCTACCTCGGGGCGACAGAGGCAACAACATGTCTTTAAACAATAAAAACAGTTTTACCAGCTACTTGAAATATGCATGAAAAAAAAACTGTATGTAACAGACATTGTGGCAAGTGGCAGTGAAACATTCATATTTCATATTTAAGAGAATAATATACTGTATATCATTTTTTTTTAATGCTAATTCAAATTCCTTATTTAATTCATACGGATCATACAACCTGTAAATTCATTTCATACATTTTAACTTTTGTGGAGTAAAATGACCAGCGTTGGTATGATTCTAATTTACTGCTTCTTTATAATATATAATTATAAATAGTTCTGTTAAATCATCATAAAACAACTGTATTTATTTAGTTGCCTCTGACGGCTGCTCAGCTTATTTGATCAATCTCTAATTTTTACTATTTTAAAATGGATTTATTGTCCACAATGTATCATTATCAGGTAAAATAACCACATTACATGCTTACAATGCTTGTTCACATATTTAATAATCACACAAAGTCAAGTGTATGTGCTCCGTGGGAAATATAGGCGCTTCTCCTCTGAGTTGAAATTGTGATACACTTAAACCTGCAGCTTATTCATTTATGTCAAGGAAAGTATTCCACCTTTAGCACCATTAAGTGTTTTGTGATCGGAACATTGTGACCACCGAGCGATCTCTTATGAGAGACACACAACTCCTGCTCACCACCTCAATTTTCACATCGTTTGAACTTGAATACATCACATTGAATATACACTGTAGATCAACCTGTCAATGTCATAGTTATTTTATCTCACATAAAAAAAAAGTTTTTCCCTCACTTGGCTTTTCTCTCTTTCTTTACCCTCTTCTCCGTTGACTTGGCTCTCCTTTTTTCCTCTTACCCTCATCTCCCTTCAGTTCGCTTTATCAATCAGTGGGCTGTGCCTTTGTATGGCTCTTGGGATCAAATCAGATTCACTTCGGGATTGAATGTGTGTAGCCATGGCCTGCTGCATTTGAAAGGCAATTCATTCAGCTGGAACTTTGCAGTTCAATTTGAAACAAGATTGATGTTGGCAAACTTCACACCCTCTTTCTTCCAAAATGTTTCCTCCATTGCACGCACCAATTGCTGACGGACTAAGGGCCTGTGCCACTTTGTAATGGTGATGTCTGGGCTTTTCAGGAACAACACAATGAAAGAGAGAAGTTACTAAACATCAACTGAAATCCCTGAGTATACTGTATTTTTCAATTTATAATAACATAAACAATATTTCAAAAATATGAAACCATTACTTACAATTATGTTACAGTCAGGTGAATACATATATTCATAAATATTAATATTTAATATATTTAAGCTTTCATTAACGGTTCTATTGGTGTTGCGTAGCAGAGTACTTTTTCACAATTTATGGTTTAAAAGTCAACAACACTTATATTTCTGCACAGGGACAAAGGCCTAATGAAGATGTATGCACATCCTGAAGGAGGAATCAGAGCATTCCTCCCCTCTGAGCTGGGTCATTGGGACTTTTTCTTTCCCAGCATGCCTCTGTGTTAATGATGCTGGCTAATGAACATTCTTAGCCAAGTGCTTGTGGTGAATAAGGCCGGAGGGGACGGGGAGAAGTGTTACCAAACCACACTGCACCTTTAAAAATAAATCAAAAACATTGGTTGAGAGGTAGAAAGAGAGCTGTGAAATAATGGCTTAATATTGAATAACAAGGGAGCTCTTTGCCTGGAGTATTGTAGGCAGAATTTAGCAAATCATGTTTCACTGATGTATGAAAATGAAATACAGCAAGTGCATTTCATTTCATTGTATTATTACGCCCTCATGTTCAGTGGAGAAAAATCCTCCAACATGTGTTGTGCCTGTACGGAAAGGTCAGCCCTGGAAAGGTGGTTTGGTAAAAACCTTTTCCACAAGTGATGGCTGCAGTCAACCACCCCCTCATCACATGGTATTTGATCAAATCCCTTAGGAGATCTCCTCACTCTGACACCCATTTACCTTCACCTCAATCTCTAGAACTCAACCCACACACACATCCTCTCCCCACCCATCCAATGTAGTGTGCACACCAGCAGATTCTCAATCCTTGCTCCAAAGCCCCAGCAGCAGGGCGGTAATGACCCTGCCACAACGGCAGTAATGATGGAATCAGTGGGGGGTTTAGCTGGCTCCTGACTGCCCTTAATAAGTCCCCTAATAACTCTGTTAACATCAGGGCTGACCCGGCCACCAGATCAAACACACTCACGCATGGCCGGCCACCACCCATGACACTCGGGGACCTCTCAGTCAGGCAGG